CCGCTTCTCTCTTATACTAGACCCTCTCTAATCGATAATGGTCCTGCACCTTCGGACACCGTTCCCATTCATCACTTAGGTCCACTAGAAACGATGAAGAGTAGGAATGTTTATATGTTTGCCATGATTGAGCGATTCAGTAAGTTTATCAAACTTTACCTGATGCGGACTGCTTGCTTTGGTGTTCACTTCTATAATCTTTTTGATTACTAAGACATTTAGAATGCACGTATATGCAAAGTTTTTTCAGTGATATACCAACATATACAACAATTCCGTAGAAAAAAGTTATAGTGAGTATCAGAATTTCATGAAAATTAGTATAGTTTTTTCTTATCAAAAAATATTAGACTCATATTTTCTTATTTCGCAATTAAAAGGTGACCATTTCCGTGTTAGGGTGGTCCAAAAAATCATTTTTTAAATTGCCTTTTTTTGAAAAATTAAAAAAAAAATATTAAGATAAAAAATATATATTTTAAAATTTTAGAAAACTATACGAGGGGGAAGGCAAGATCTGCAATGTCTCAAAATTGGTATATGGTGTTTATGGACAGCCTACAGGCTGAACAGAACGTTGCATCCAGCTTGTAAGTCACTCATAGATTTCGTTACCCAAGTAACATTGTAAGTTTTATTGAGGTTTTAAAGCACTCTACAAGTCTAAATCGTGGTCTACAGTACCGTCGTAAAACCCAAATTGTTACTTGGGTAGTCACAGCTGATGTGACTCGATGGAGACGCATTGTGAACTACCTTGCGTCTTCATCGTTTCCATGCACGTGTGGTGTATATATTTCTGACTGAACGAAGATTTTTTTTTTAATTGTATCTCCAAAACGACTTCTCCGACATCGCTAGTTTTTTTTTATATGGGTCATTCCAGCTCAAGTGAGTACAGAATTTAAAAAAGTTGTGGTCAATGTCACCGATTTGAGCCAAACTTGACCAAAATGCTTATTTTGGCATTCTGAGCAAATGCCGTTTTTGATTTTACTCTAAAGTGCCTAGATCCATCTAGGCTACAACCCTGGATTTTCGAGATTTTTAAAAATGTCATCTTTCAGAAGAGATTACTCCACAACAAAATAGGCTATTCGTAATTTTAGAACGTCAATTTAAAGGTTTTTTAATGCAAATTCACATAGGTGTACGCACATTTTGTTTATGTTATAGCAACTACGGTAAACAGACTGATTGCTGGCAGGTATCAAAATTGTCAAAAAATGACCTATTTTCACCATGGGCGGGATTTTTTGTTTCTTAATTTTTTGGGCTCAATTTTTCACCACACTTTGAAAAACTATTCTACTAGAAGTGTTTTCAAGGGCAAATGATTTGGAAAAAATGTTTTTGAGGAACGACCAGATGATTGAGTGGTAGTTTTGAGCTTTTCTGGTGAAAAATCAATGTTATGTAATATTACTTATTTTTTCTTGGATTTCTTCAATAATATTGTTATGTTATTTTGCGTAGAAGAAGAACATGACAGTTACGTTCATGAATGGAAAGTGTGTTTTCAACAAATGAAAATTAAAGATTCAACGTTTATTTTTCGTAATAACTATAACATAAAAGCATTCTTGTATTTTGTAAAAGCTCGTGAGATTGCATCTAAAAAAAAAATAATTAAGGGTATTATTCAAGTAGCAGCTGTCATCCACAACTTAAAATTAATATACCTGCTAATCTATCTGATTTCATCGTAATTCTAAAGCATAACGTTTTGTCTGTATCCCTTAGTAACGTACTTTTCACTTTTAGGACCAACTAATTAAGGACAGAAGTAAAAAAATGAGCTAGTTGTGATTTCATATAATGCGAATCCTGCCCAGAACATGTGAAAATAACTTTAAAATATTTTTGTCGGCGTGAAGGAATTCAAGAAAAAATAAACAATATTATAATAATAAATAGCATTGATTTTCCACCAGAAAAACTCAAAACTACCACTCACTCATCTGGTCATATCTCAAAAACTATTTGTCCAAATCATTTTCCCTTGGAGGTACATTAAGTAAATGAGTTTGCCAAAGTGTGGTGAAAATTTGAGCCAAAAATATTTAGAAATAAAAAACCGCCCATGGTGAAAATAGGCAATTTTTTGACAATTTTGCTACCTGTCTGTAATGAACTCCTCTACTGTAGTTACTATAACAAAAACAAAATTTGGGTACATCTATAAGAATCTACATTAAAAAATCTTCAAAATGACGTTCTAAAATCACGAATAGCTTATTTGGTTGTGAAGTAATTTCTTCTGAAAGATGAAATTTATAAAAATCTCGAAAATCCGGGGTTGTAGCCTAGAGATCTAGGCTCTTCAGAGTCAAATCAAATTCGGCATTTGTTCAGAATGTCAAAATAAGCGTTTTGGCCAAGTTTGGCTCAAATCGGTGAGATCGACCACTTGAGCTGGAATGACTGACCCATATGTTATGTAAAATTAAATGATCTTTCAATCTTTAAATGATTAAAATTATTAAAATAAGAAGTTGTTGAAGGCCCTCGCAGTGAAAATAAAGAAAAAAAAGCATCGTTAGGAATTTTTTCATACAAAATCAAATATTTCTGTGCGTTAAGTAATTTTCATTAAAACAACATTGAAAAAATACGTTTGAGGTGTCAATTGTAAAAATCGGTCCAGCGGTTCAGAAGTTATGAATTGAAAAAAAGGCATTTTTTTTTGGTTTATCCTAACACGGAAATGGTCACCCTAGTGGTGGAATAAAAAAATACCAGTCTAATATTTTTTATAAGGAAAAACTATACCAATTTTCACGAAATTCTGATACTCACTTTAACTTTTTTATATGGAACTGCTGTATATACAAACAAACTATTCGTATAGAATACAAAAAATTGCCTATACGCAGGCATGGAAAATCATTAGCATTCATTTCGTGCATTCGTTTACATTCATTTGCCCCTAACTTTTTTCATCAACAGAATTCCGCAAAATATTGTATAGAGCTTTTGTAGGTTTTGTTATAAGCTACAACTTTTGTCAGCAACTCAAAGCCGTTTCTCTTATGTATGACGAACCAGAGCAAACAGAAGCCACTACTGTTTTTCAGTGAATGCATTTTAAATTCACTGAAAAACAGTAACAAGTTCTGCCCGCTCTAATTCGTGATGCATAAGATATACAGATTTGAGTTATGGGCAAAAGTTGTAGCTAATAACAAACCTACTAAAGCTCTATACATCATTTTGCAGATTGCTGTAATGAATGTAAATGATTTTCCATGCCTGCTTATACGTACAAAAGTGAAAATTTTAATTTCTTTTTAAACGAGTTGATTTTCCGTCATATACGGTTTAACCCGTAATAACAAATTCAATTTGAAAACTTTTCCCGAGCAGGAACGAATATCTCGATACCTCAAATTGGTATGGATGAGCCTGACATAAGAGGTAAAATACCAAAAAATAATACCAAAAAAATGTTCCAACGATACCATTCCAATACCAAATTATGATAATGCAATACCAAAACAATACCACCCAGGTATTCTTTTGGAATCTAAATATCAATTTTTGGTATTTACAAAGTATTTTGCATGTATTTTTTTGGTATTATTCTTTGGTATTTTACCTCTTATGTCACGCTAGTCAATACCAAATTTTGGTTTCAGATCAGAATTAGGTATTCATTAGTTATTATCTCCTGCTCGGGTTACGATGTTATCCGATTTAACTTGTGATAGAGTACGATGGAAAAATTGTTCATCAAATATACTCCCATATATAGTCAAAAATTTGCATTCTAAACGATTGAACTTGAGCATAATACGACGCATGTCATTCTTATATGCGATGTTGACTTAAACTATTGCAATTTGCGATACTTTCTATTCTTTGTTTTACAACTTCTGGTTGTATGGGGAGCTTGTAATTTTTTCCCCGCCCATTCGTAGTGTGATGAAATAAAACATCTAATGAAACACTAATGAAACATTACAACAACCCGAAAATTCAATTACATTTTTTTATGCACGAACAGTCGCTCATTATTTTGAACAATTGCCTCTTGTGCCATCATTAATTGCCAATTGCAACTGTTCAATTTATAGTGTCATTCCAATCAGTACTTCTTTGCGCAATAAACCGGTTTAAATGGACCGAAAATAACAACCAATTCACTTTCACCCAGATAATTGTTTGCCAAAAAATGGCACGTGTAACTTCTCCACCAACACCGCTGTGCAACAATACAAAACATTGTCTGCATAAAATTAGATCACCATCCAAAATCAGCAAGCATAAAGTGCGGAATGCTCAAGTTTAATGACGCGTACATTTTTACACACATTCCTCACATTTTACGTCCAACCCACAACCGCTGATGACTTGTTCACTGACTGGGGTAGCAAAGACAGAAAAAAAATGACTCAAGCCGCATCGAAAGCGAAAGTACTTTACATTGTTTTCCTGGCTGCACTTGTTTTATTGCCCACACCGATCGATCGACGATCGGACGCATAGGATAAACGCCACAGCTGAGCCATACTCGGCCATTGGTTATTAACTACCGTTTGGATGACGCGCGCCATAAATAAATGGTGGTAGGAAAAAAAACGAGAATTGATTGATAGCCATCATCGTCCGGGTTCGCTAGTGTTTATTGTTGCAAAAGAGTACTGTTCGACTGTTGTTTTTGCCCAATCGAAAGTGAAATTTATACCACCAACAGTGCAGAGAAAAAGGCATTAAAACGGTATTTAAAATTGAACCAACATCAGCCAAATCGGATGCGAATTCCTGAATTTATGTTTGTGCAATTAATCATAACGTTTCGTGATTATCATGCAAATGAGACATTTATGAATATACTGCCACTTTTGGTGAAATAATGTGCCACGCAAGTTGCGGAAGCAACTTTCAATCGGTCTTAAAGCTTGTCCTGAAACAACAAAACGGCAGATTTAAGCAAAAGTGACATCAATGGCAACGCAAACGACGAACCCTTAGAATCGAATGAAAATTATGTCACTCACCTTTTTGTTTCCGTTGCCCATAGGCACGCTCTCGTTCAGGTGTCGAAGCGGGTCTTCTCGATCGGCTAAGCCGATTCTGGTGCTACGGCGTAATCTGCTGTTCGTAACCCCTTCCGAATCAGTACATCACCGGTTTGTCTCTATCTACGACCCGGCCGTTTCCTAGTTTCATGTTTCCCCGAAGGCCTGGAAATGGCCTCGATCGGCCGCGACGGGGTCGTGGGTGTCACTATTGCCAAAAAATAACTTAATTTTTATGTTTTTTTTTTTTAATTTTTCCGGCTCCGGAATCCGAAATATTAATTTTCTGCCACTATAGCGCCAAATTTGCAAGTCTAATAGGACTGGCTCGTGGTGCCTTCTTTCCGGCTGATTGCCGCTCTCACACGCCAATCGATTATACAATTTTTCGACCGAAAACAAAAAAAAAACACGACTCTAAAAAAAATGGCGCTCCAAACGAGACACGAAGAGAAGAAATGCGGTAATTCGATTGTGTCACTTTTTCCGGCACTCGGCCACTGGAACTGGCTTCTTGGGTTTCCAGGTGATATTTTGCGTTTGCTCTTTCTCCGTCTCTCAGTCGTCGTCTTCTTATGCCCGTGTGCTCCACTTTCAATTTCAAATCACTCACACTCGAGACAAGCAGGCCGCGCAGCGTCGTTCACGACGAAGATGAAGACGAAGCGAAACGCTGAACAGTAAGAAATAAAAATTATCACCTTCAACTCTTTTACTTTTTTTCTTCGATGTCACACACTTTACTTTGCCGGGGGTTCACTTATTCTTCTTTCTTCTTCTTCTTCGTTTGCCTTGTTTTGGCGGCAGTGGGACTAGGTGTCATGTTCCATCATGAAGGTGTATGGAAATTATGCTATTATTTTATCCGCGCTTCTGCTCTCTTCGTTGCTGCCGTAACTGTAACACTGTGTGGAGGAATGTGATGACAATTTTTTTTTTTCAGTTTTTCGGTCACCAGAGCAATGCGTGACTCTTTTTGCAGCGTGGAATTCGATGGTTGGCTGGCTGGAGTGATGGTAATAATGGAAAACCTTATTGCACATAAATTTGTCAATTGAGCACGATGTTGACCTTCTGCCGGCTTCTGTTGCGTGTCCTTAAGAGTGTGGAAGGAATTTATGCAAATCTGTATCAACTTCGTGCGGGTCTTGCAGTAATGATTGCATTCTGTTCGTTTAACCCTGTGTTCATACTTCAACTGTATGCAAGTCGCCTTGAGAAACTAATTATTGTATACATGTGCTGTGTGCAAAAGTTGAAGCTTTACGGGGTATTTTGCATTTATGTCTGAACTATTCATAGATATCAGGATTTCCGTCTTCGCTGAAATTCTTACTTAAATGCAGAGCAGAAAACCCGTCCATTTTATGACGATGAACTAATGTAGTACAGGCAAGAGATACGAGATTTTCCGCCATTTGCTGGTTCATCTCTTGACGAATATTGGGGACTCCTGAAGGGAGCCCCCAAGTGACAGAGTTTGAAATGGCACACGGTTTGTCTGAAGAATTTTTTTTGCTTCAGCTTTTTCTTCACAGGATGTTAGTATTGATTTCAACAATCAAATCTATGATGGTTTTAAAATATTTCACCTCGGGTTTTTTTAGAAAAAGTGTTTAGAAGTTTAAAAAGCCGATTATGAGGGCGTTATGGACTATTGACCATACAAAACTATTATGAATTAAAAAATTCAAAAATTGATTGAATTAATCCAAATGGCATTAGATAAGTTCTTTTTGACTCCCAAGTAACATGCATATTGATTATGTCGACTTTGCGCAAAATCAATTGAAATTTGTTGGTAGCACAACATCATGTCTGATTTCTCTTCCCTCATAAAAGTAAAAGAGAAAAAAACAAGCAGGACGATCCGAGACAGACACGTAATCATAGTAGGCATTGATTTTCGGCCTGTTTTGAGTTTTTTTTTTGTGTGGAAAATCTGGAGAAAAAAAAAATTTGAAAAAAAACTTATGAAGAAAATGAAGAGTTCACTTGTTGTGCTTCGAAAAAGCGACTCTGTAAAAAAAATTAAGCCACTTTAGTAGCGACGATCGTTGAAAGATTTTTACCGAAGTTCATGAAGGAGATAGTAGGTATCCAAAAGTTTTGTTTTCGGTACCCAGCAAGTGACAAAGGTGGCATTTGCCACTAACACATCCTGAGGGGTGGAAAATTCGCTTGGATTTTTAAAAATGAATAGAGATTCATGACTCAATGGCGAGATCGACAATACATTCTGGCAACCATGACGAATGTGTTTGAAAATCGTTTAACCGATAATGCCGATAATACTATTCAGGAATGAAATTCACATTAGCTACTCTTACCCAGTGCAGTGGGTTAAGGTAGCCCTCACCTTGAATTACTACCGATTTGCTAGAGCTTCATTGCAGTTCCCATATTTTGTTTAAGGAAACTTTCAGGAAGGTTCAGCGACTTTCTAGGAAATTCTGTGAACTATAGGGAAATGTTGTAAATTTTAGTAAAGTTCTGAAAATTTAAAAAAAAAGTTCCTCCAAAGAAGCAGAGAAATTCAACAACTTTCATTGTTCATTGAACTTCAGGGAAGTTCTACAAACTTCAGGAAAAATCTTCAAAAAGATGTGCTTCGATCTTCAGAGAAGTTCAATAAACTTCCGGAAAGCTCTGGGTACTTCATGGATATTTTGTGAGCTTCAGGGGTTCAATGTCCTCCTGGTAGGTTCTACGAACTTCAAGAGAGTTCTGTGAACAATAACAACATTGTATGAATTTCAATGATGCAAAACGTTCTTCAAACGTGAGAAAAAATTTGCCAACTGTGAACCACAGGAAAAATTTAATAATATTAGTAAAGTACTGTGAACTTTGAGAAATGTTTGAGAATTTCAGGGAAAAAATGCCAAACTCAGAGACGTTCAAATAACATCAGGAAAGTTTAATGAATTTCATTGAAATTCAACGAAATCAAGGAAAAACTTATGAACAGAGATTTGAATTTGAATGTAACTTCTATAAGCTGTCTCATCGGGTCATTCGTGGTACAACTTCCACTTCGTGTCTTAGAAAACAGGAATTATAGAGATAATTTCTTGCAACAAAAATTGCAAATTATGTCTGACGCAGATTTCTCCTGAGAAAAGTCGTGCATATAGTGAAAACCAGAAACTTCAGAATCTCCTGATGAATGTGGGTGTCTTAGTGGAATACCTGTATAATGAGAGAGAGAGAGAGAGAAGGATTAGTTATTTCCATTTAATTCCACAACCTTATTTGCTTATCCTAGACAGATACGCGTATTTCGTCTACAATGTGCAGACTTCTTCGGTGTCTTGCACTCGAGTATTAGTACAAGTCACTGAAGAAGTCTGCACATTGTAGACGAAATACGCATATCTGTCAAGGATAAGCAAATAAGGTAGTGGAATTAAATGGAAATTACTAATCCTTCTTTCTCTTATTATTCAGAATCTCTCCGAATTGGCAGACGAAAGTAAGGATCACTTTGTTGCCAAAAGCATTAGAGAGTTAGCAGGCAAATAACTAGCCGAGGCTAGTTTTTCAAACGTCGCTGGAAGACCAATGGGTTTAAATTTGAAACAGTCAGGAAAAAAATCTAAGATTTCTCACGTTGATCTACTCAGCAAGAAAGATCTTAATCTGAGTGTTAATAAGTATGTAACAGTTATCGATACCGTCAAACTATCCAGCGCGGCTTCAAATCAGCTATGAGGAAAGACAACGCAGCCAAGAATCACAATAACGCAATTGAGTGGTTGCCGCAAATGCGACTCGGCATACGCAATTTGGATTTGCTGGTCACCATTGTTGATGCTTGATAAACGTGTAGTTTTTTAAGGATGAAATTTGGATAATCAGCTTACGAAAAAGAACACATTGCTTACTTTTTTGATATGTTGTGTAAAGAAGTCTAAATTTTCAAGAAATAATATACATTTTTTAACATCATTAATGTTTTTTTTACAAGTATTTTTAATTACCTTTAATTTGATATTTTGATTTTTGAAACCAGCTCAGTGGTTCAAAAGATAAGAATTTTTGAAAAAAGTAACTAAAAAAAAACAATTTTTTGGACTACCCTAACGTTGAAATATACAAAAAATATAAAAATATATTTTGCGATTAAGAACAAAACTACCATTTTTATTAAATTCTGAGAACCACTTTTTTGTTCTACAATGGAATGGCTGAATAATAGTAAATTCAGAGACTAATCCATTGTTTAATTATTTTAATAATTTAAACATTTTGAGATCATGACAAAGTTACAAGTTACAAAGTTACAGTGGGCTTCGTGGTCGTGCGGTTAGCGGCGTCACCCGTCGTTCAGGCGTATTGTGAGTGCCACGAAGTGAGGGTTCAATTCCCGCTCCAGCCGGTGGAACTTTTCGCAACCCGGAAATTTCCCTACTGGTCTACTGGGTGTTGAGTGTTGTCCGTTGTCTAGTGTTAAGTATTCAATCTGTACAACCTCTGGTGAAGACGGTGTCAATTGTCTTTTTCTTTTAATATCTGACGGAACCGAAGAGAGAATCTTGCTGTACTATTGAAACTTAGTATGTTGACTACTTTAATCCTCATTTGAATCATTTTCAGCTGAATTTGTTTCGATCCGTAACAGGTTTGTATCGTCAATAGTCCGTATAAACCTTTGTAAACCGCTAGGTATACTTCAAAACACTTTTTCTAAAAAAACCCAAGATGAAATATTTTAAACCCTATACAGATTTGCTTGTTAAGATCAATACTAACTTCATGTGAAGAAAAAACTGAGGTACATGAAAGATGCAAAAAAAGTGCTTCCAGACATAGCGTGTGGCAGTGGGGAGCCCGAAGGGACCCCTTTAGTTACAGAGTTAATGAGGTAGGGGAACCAGAAGAGACTCCCCTAGTGAGAAGGATTGGGCCGTCCGAGTATTTGTTTATGAAAGTTAGCTGTCGAGGTGCTGTCGTTGTTAGTAGATGTTCCTGGTTTGGTGCATTTGGTCGGTAAATTGTCGGGGTTTTGAATTCAGGGTTCGTTATAAAAGTTGGTCCTGGTTCGATGCAGTGGGTCGGTTATGGTTGGTTATTGTTAGGGAGTGTCTAGTATAAGAATTTAACTTTAACCGTTCGATTTATTGCGTTTGAATTACTTCTACATCAATTGAAAGGAATGAAATTCATCACATTACTAAACATAACAACGAGCAATGACGAGGAATTGCATCTCAAAACCCAAGGAGCGAATTCAACCAACGAAACTTCTAAGCGCAAAAGAATCATTACCAACCAAGAAGAAAAATGCGATAAGATCTTTCAGTTTATGATTTTTCAATATTTACAAATATTTACACATTACACACAATTACACAAAGTAACTCGGAGCGTTTGGTATGGTATGTTCACGCATCCTTCCACCTCTGTAGATTCAGGAATTGCATCGCTAATCGAATATAGTTATTGAAATTCGAAGCATTTCAAAGAATCATCTTTGCGGCAAATATTTACCACGCAGTAGGCCTGGCCGATTTGAAGTTTGTATTATATATTGACAAGAAAAATAATTAGGCATAATCTAATAGTACGTTCAGACTACAGAGTTATAACATGTTATAGCGCTATCTAGATGGTGGTTTCTGTGTTGCAATTATTTGACAACCGTTATAACATGCTATAACCAGGGTGCCTTCCATTCATTTTGACTAAAAAAAAATTTTAAGAAATTATGGAATAATAAGATATTATTAGATTATTTTGATTGTGTAAACAACAAGAAGAGATTGTTAAGTTTGTGTTTGACACATAATACCTGCCAATTTTGCTACATGAGAGTCGCAATAAGCCATTTTGTAATTTATCTCACCCACTCTTCGCTCTTCACTCTTCGCGAAGAGGCGATCAGAAAAACGCTCATTGTGACTCTGTCAAAGCTAAATTTGCAGGTTTGATGTATCAAACACAAACTTTACAATGTTTTCTTATTATTTACACATACAAAATATCATCAAAATATCTTATTATTCCATAATTTCATAAAACATTTTTTTAGTCAAAATGAATGGAAGGCACCCTGGTTATAACTGCTCAGTCTGGCCAGCGTTTAACCTAATTATTTTCCAGGATACTTTCTCGTACTGGCTGCGTTTGTATTAGATTAGATTATATTATATTAGATTAAATTAGATTAGTTATATTAAGCTGAACAATGCATTAGGTCCTAAGTAACATTGACCGATTCTCTTCGTCGACTTTCTCTTTGTATCCCCACGGCCATGTTAACACATACCCATGTATTTTCAGCCCACAGATGGATAAAAGAAGCTTTTATATAGCATCTAATACGACAAACACTACAAAAAAACAGTCATG